CTTGCGTTGTCTCCGTTGTGTGGTCTGGTTGGCTCTCAACGTACTTTATGTGCACGCCGAACACAGTAAGTTCGAGCCGAGCGAACACACACACCGCTCTATCGCGTAAAATCACACTATCTCTCCCTGCACTCCCCTCGTCTCCCTCACTCCCTCTCTCTCTCCTGGCACGATCGCCCTGGCACACAATCGTAGACCAATCCGATCGACGGATGCCTTTATTCATCCGACAAAGGTGTTGTTCGCCTCCTTCGGAGAGGACAGTTACTCCCGAGTGCCACGATCCTGAGACTCACAAATCTTGCAAAACTGTTTTACTAATTTCAATCAAAGAGCGTGTGGAACTATACTAGTACATATCAAATATGTTTGTTTATCTCTTATTTACTTCTGGCCATAACGTTATCGGATGATATACCTCATTTTGTTCTATTGTCAATTCCACTAACATTTTTATGTATTCTTTTCTTTTAGACATGCAAGACAGAGTATATCCACGACTCTCTATTAGGTATCTAGAGAAGTCAACGAGATTCACGTGTCTAACTCGAAAGTTGAGTTATAATTTTTTTAGATGGCCCCCTCGTAGGGCGCCTGGTGAGAACCCTCCTCTGCCACTCCAGGTGGGGGGTATCGTAATGTGTACGGCTATACAGTCATCGCTCTGTACTCGAAGTAACATTGTCATAAGTCCTACGGTAATCGGATATTATTGTGTTCCGAGTTACCTTGTAACCCAAACCCGCAGAAAAAGTGAATTAAGACGTTATCCTCTTAGAGCGGAAGTGGATCCGGCTCCAGACACTCGAACCATTTTCCAACACTGGTGCCGAGATGTCTTTTCTCCTGTCATTTCTTGCTAGGACCAAGTCTTCAGTCGAAAGTCACATATCGGACGACGGACGGTGAGCAGGTCGTCTGGCCTGGCCATGTAGGAAGGAATAAACTCGAACCTCGGGGCACTTTTTTCGACAGAGCGGCATTCCACCAGGTAAACTTTGTTAAGTATAAAAGCTCTACTCGATTATGTATAAAACTTCTTTCTATTTAACAAAAGACCTGTAGAGAAAGTTTACACATGCCCCTTTTAGACGTAAAACCTACTTGCGTCCGGAGACAATGGACCAGTTCCTGTCTGGCAACCTGAAATAATCTGAATTCATTCCTATTACGACGTCGGATGCAGGTATGTTTTTTTTTATCCGTAACTTAACTTTTACTGAAAATAACCCGGATTTTTCACTAACATATACGAGGCAAAGTTTTTTTTTTTGACAAGTGCGCCGTTTGCCGACCATGCCGGTGTTGTTGTTGCATTAACTTACTGCCGTCGTTCTTAGCTACGTTAGACAGTTTCACAGACTAGTGTCAAGGTGATTGATTCAGAATTTGTGACGGCTCGGGTATGGAACAGGACATCCCAATAAGGACAGATAAACAGCAGACTCCTAAATAGTCTGCGGTCGAAGATTGGAGAAGATGAGAGGGAATTAGAGGAATCTTGTCACTCACTACGAATCGTCGCCACACAATAGTCATAAGTTTTGGAGACTTACAGGTTTACTGGTTAGTTTTAGCTAATAAGCTGATTCGGCACATTATTTAGACTATAACTCCAAGAGTCACGAAGTGGGACACCACTAAGGACGGTATATGATTTCACAGACTCCAAGTCTGTCGCTCGTCTGGGTGACATAGCGACGAGCAGACGTGGGGAAGTGAGGCGAGGTAGTATGTAGGAGTGTGGGTAGTAGTTGAGTCACACTATATAAGCCGGGAGCACACAACTTGCTCTCTTAGGGACAGGGTGGTTTATGGTGGTGGTGTGTTGTGTGTGTGTGTGTGTGTGTTGTGTGTGTGTGATGTGGTGTGATGTTGGGTGTGGTGTGTGAATTACAGTCCTGCCGTCGTCTCTTGTGTCATGATGAGGTTCACGTAAAGCACGGTTAATGTATTATATTATTGAGGTGTCTCAAATATACGTCAATCAAGTGGCACCTGCTAACGGGGTGGTGTATGATAGGTTTACATCTAAAAACGTATTTTTCAAACATTATTATTTTAATTGTATTGTTCTTTCTTTTGTTACTTTTTTTTTTAACAGTCCGCGATCTACCCGCACCACACTGGTTGGCGACCACTGCTCTAGAGGAAGTAAAGAAACCGTAACTCTGGATGTATTTGTTGTTTGAGGTGCAATATGAGTCAGCAGCTTTAAGACATGAAGAAACTATTGCTTTGCTCTGATGTATTCATTTTGGGCAGAAGTGACGTTAGCGCCCAAACTATAAACTTGGAAAACCCCTGAAGTCTATTCCACCTGCCTGCATACAGTTAACTGGTGTTGTAGTGCTCGAGACCGGTCTCGAGACCACTTTTTAACGGTCTTGTCTCAGAATTGACTGCATTTGGTCTTGGTCTTGTCTCGGTCTAGGACCTATAGGTCTCAAGATTTTATGTCAAGACCACGGCTGTTGCTGGGGATGTGATTGGATGTAAAACGCCCTGTTCAAAAAATTCAACCAATATCGTGACTACGAATCTCTGCCCTCATGCGCCACAATGTTTGTAAACATGACACTGGTCTATACCGGCTGCTAAACTCAAACAATCTTGCAGTGAAGATGTCGCAACAACAGCTGGGTGTTCTCCGATAAGGGGCCGGGGGAAACAAAGTTAGTGATTACTGGTTCCATGTTGATTTATTTCAATACAAATTGTTGGGGGGAACCGAAAGGCTCTTACCGTACTGGTTACTTTGCAGCCCGGACATTTTCCCCAAAACACATTTTAGACGCGATCGCAAAACAGAAGTACCTTTCAAATCCCATCATTTTTAAGACCTACTAAATCATATTTAAGACCTCTCTTATATTTTGGGTCATATTTAAGACCTTTTTAAGGCCTTAAATTCAGATTATCAAATTTAAGACTTTTTAAGTCAGAGGGGTTATCCTGTGGTGTGGTACTGTATTTACCTCTGATGACCTCTCCTCCTGTGTGGGACTGGCTCTGCAGGAAGGACAGCATCACAGAGGGCTGGTACGTGCAGTCCACACAGGCCTGAACAGCCTGCTGCAGCACTGCGTTGACTGGAGCCGGCCCAAAGTGGTCGGGCAGCTGCTGCACCAGCTTTCTGTCAAGATGTGGGCCGTAGTTCCCGTGCTTGTTCACATAGACACACACTGGAATAAACAAAGAGAGGGAAAATTGTACCAATCCAAACATAGTTGAATTCTGACTGTTGACTTTTAAATCCAGCTAGAAAGAGTGGTTGATGGTGAACATATGAGTACACATGAGGCTCAGTCTGTTATCTTACCTGTGCAAACTACATTTGAGCTGTTGCTATGGTTGTTGTCTGCTGAGGCGTGTCCGGGGGTTAGTCTGGTCTCTGGAGGGGGGGCTGTAACTGCCGGTGTCCCCAGAGATTTCAACACCCCTGGCTTTCTCTGAACCAAAACACAAACAAACTCTTTTTCATTAACTTTCTGTAACCCACAAAGTTTAGTAATGATTTATTAAAGGTGTATTTTAAAACTTTGACTATTACACACAAACTGCCCTGCAGCACATGTTGCAGCTTCTAGCGCAAAGCTCCTCATTTATCATGAATAAACATCGTCTAAATCTTAACTCTGTTAAACAATGCACCTCTGACCCTTTTTCCTCTACATCAAATCTGCCATAATACTTATAAACATAAGATGACAGGGTCACTGGACCGCAGCATAACAGATTACAGCGCGGTGACATCTCACCTTGTTCCGAGGCTTGGGCCCTCGCTTCTTGTGTGGTCTGGGGGCCAGAGGACCCTCAGAGCTCGTCCTGACAGGACTCGCTGATGCTCCATTTACTGCTGCTGCCGCTGCAGCCTCAGCCGCTGCCTTCAACAAAGCAATGGTCAGGGATTTGGGACGACGACCACGGACCCCCTTGCGCACAGGGAGGGGGGGCAAGGGGTTTGGAAGTCGGTATGAGGTCTGCATGTAGGAAGAGGAACAGTTGGAAGAGGAGCGACGTGTAGTGAGGGAGGATGAGGTGGAAGCAACCGGAACAAGCAGTGCTCCAGGGAGCGTAACTGTAAAACATGGGATTATGGAGATAGAGAGAGAAAATATGTTGTTATTCTTTTTGTAATATGCATGAAAGATGCTAAAGATCATCATAAAGATTAATACAGGTTCATTTGGACTTTTTCTAATTGAATACATTTGAAATCTGCAGCTCAAAAACAATAATATGGGCTTCAAACAAAGGCATGTGTTGAGAATAATCTTTGCTAAATTATTAGCAATGTCACATTTACACCCTTAAGACTGTGTTCATATTTTCAAAAAAGGAAAAAGAAATGTCAGAAGAAAGACAAAGAGGGAATGAATAACTGTGTGGTTCTGCAGAGGAGATTTGTTTTGATTTTCCTGAGTCCTCTGAGATTGGCAGGTCTTTTGTATTTGGCCCCTCCTTACGCTGAAATCCGAGTCAAAAGTCACAAACCCCCAGAGATCTGCCTGCTAGACTTTTCCTTAAAACTTCTGCTTCCAGCAACCCAACAAAAATAGTGATTATGGTGAAAAGATGTGAACCCTTTTCCCACATACAGCAGAAGATATTGGATTATTGGGGCTGGTCAATTGGGAGTTTAAAATCTGATCCAACCATTATGTGTATCAGATAAGAATCCTTCGGAAACGCCATTTCAAAACCTGCCTTTTGGACTGTAATGCCACTTTGTTATACTCGTTTGCTCACTTACATAGACACCATTATACTGGAGTGTCAATATATTGACACAGGCAACCATTTTCTGCATGTAGGTTGTCACATTTTGAGAATTTCCAAAGGTGGATGAGTACTTTAGTCGATGTATCTGTGAAAAGCTACAATTGGCTGACAATATCAGCCTAGCAGGTATATCAGTAAGACATTGGTTTTAAAATCCAGCATTCTAGGACGAGGTTCAAGTTTAGCTATGGTGTGTGCCATCCCTTGTCCGACAATGGCACATTATACAATACAAATACATGAAGAATACCTCAGAAAACAACCTAGCAACCTGTCTTTTTGGAGGCTTAAAAGTCTCTCCACAAAAAAATTATATAATTGCAAAATCTCCATCAGCGTAGGTGTTAAAATAGAAGGACAGTGGCAATAAAGTGAGAAAAAAGGAAATGGGTATTGTGAAAAAGGGAAAAAAAGCAGTGGCTACACCACCCCCGCCTGTCCTCATTAGCCCTGCATGACTCTGTGATATGATCACATAATTATCAAAGAGGTTGTGTGAAAGAAGGAAATTGAGGAAAAGAGAAAGATAAGCCTCTCCTCTTTCAATACAAGTGAACTGTTTGGTGAGAGCAGCGTCCTGAGAGTGCATGTGGAGGCTCTCATGGGGCCTGGGCTTTCATTAGAGCTTCTTGACTGAGGCAATATGGAGACACTATGGAAGGTTTACAGTATTCTCTAAGGGGCCAGCCGGGGCACCCTGAAAGCTGCTTGATTGGGAAATGAGTGAAAGTGGCCATCTATAGAGCAGTGTTTTGCTTCAGAGGGTGAGGTCTCACTCGCTCACCAGGAGCGGTCACAAAAAGCGTGCTCAGAGAGCAAAGGAACAGAAATACCAACCTGCACGCACAGTGGCACGCGTATTCACCGAGCTAGCAGGATTAAGCCCTACAAAGGCAGATCAAAAATGATTTGCAGGGTACCAATCAGTATCAGCGGGTTTTAACTCTCCAAGGGGAATCTGAGTTGGGGGCCCACTCTGATCTTTCCTTGTTGAAAAAAAGAAAGTCTAATCCATTCACGTAATGTGACAGCCACTGAAGCAACATTTTCAACTTCCACACTGGTGATTAATGTCACACTATGATGGGTTTGAGCTTAACATTTTATAAAAAGTAAAACAAAATAATCATCTTTGCATTTTGTACTACAACTTTCAAATGTTTTACGTCCGTCTGACAGCGTCATGAATATTCTGTGTCCACTTGCTCAAGCTCTTCATCAAAGCAATATCCAATCCAACTTTATTTATATAGCACATTATAAGAAAATAGTTGACCAAAGTGCTGTACATCAATAAATATATAAAAAGCAGCATAAATACATTTAGACAAAACAAATGTAAAAGCACGAGACAATAAAACCATACTTGTAGCTGAAAAACTCTCATACATGATGTAAAAACATATAAAATGTATACTAAGAGTAATACTCAAACTTAGGACTGTGTGTGCTTTATGGCTGCAGTATTTGATGAAATATATATATTATAAATGTCGTCATACATGCAGCATTCTATCAAATGTCTCCACAAAATACAGCCAACAGTTTTGTAAGAGAGTTTCGTCACTTGACTTCAATTCAACTTTTTTTTTTTTCAAACATTTCATAAACAAATAGTTGTTGACAAAGGTTTTGCAAATAAATGTTCACTTTACTTATCAGAAAGGCAATACAGCTCTAAATGCCTAACAGTTATAGATTTAAATAGATATGTATTTTTTTGTAAACACTGCATTAGCATTACATTATCATTTCTGTACTGTTTTAGAATGTAATAGTAAACAATGTCTGCCTGGTGTGTTAGTAAAGATGCATACATTTCTAAAACTCAACAGCTGTGTTTGGAAGATGTGAGTAAAATGTGAATTGTTGAATACTGGCTAAAAAACCTAACAATAATCTTGGGAAAAACTTAAAATATGCCCCTTTTAGATAAACTCCAAAAAAGTGAATTGATTGGACCATCCAAAAAGCTTCAAAATGTTTACCATGGCATCCCTAGCATGTAACCAACCGGACATATGGTTCTGATCATGACTATATAATTCCAACTGACCCGTCGACCCGTCTGAGCTACAGCCTGAGGAAACGTGTGTGTGTGTGACAGTGTGTGAGCGCACATGCACGCATGAGAACGGGGTCGCTGGGAAGTGTGTCTGCTGTCTAGGGGGTGGGGGGAGGGGCTCCACACAGAGCCTCATCTAATTACAACCACACCCCCTCCACCCTCAAATGCTGAGCACCCAAACACATACACACATGCTGTTGACTAAATCTAAAGCAGTATAAAACTCATGAACTGCTAATCAGGTGTGTGTGTGTGACTGTGTGCAGACTGAAGAGAGGAGGAAGTTACTTAAATAGCTTCAGGCACAATGTGTAAAGACAACACAAATTCTATATGAACCAACAGTGTTTTGAATGCAACTTAAGTGGATGTTCACCGTTGAATAGAGTCAAATAAGTTCATATAATGATCAAAACAAGGGAATAAAAACAGCAATGAAAATATCTGAAGACCACTAATCCTTCCCTCATTATTTGGCAAACTAATTCCTGATGTTTCTCACACACACACACACACACACAGATTAAAAACACATGGAGCACCAAAAATAATTACTGACAAAACACTGTTAAATCTACAAAGTTTGATTCTCTCTGACAAGCAATAGCCACTAGGCTCTCTAAATGAATTTGACTGAATGCAATTCATTCAAAAAGTCTTCACGTTGAACAAAGAAAACAGTGTCAAGCTGCAGTTTTAATCATTAACACCCGAGTAGGCGGCTGCTACACATGTGAGAAGACATGCAACTTTCATGTGAACAGCAGATTTACCTTTCACTTCCCTTTGTAGGTTTTGCCAGCACAATGAGTTAAAATGTGAAGGCAGTTTTTTTAGTTAATAATCCTTAAAGCCATTTGGGGAGAGAATTATCAAATCTAAACACAATCATTTCTAAGACCACCACTACTACTTCCTGAACCGAACAAATCATTGACTGAATTAGTTTGAATTAGTGCAGTTTTTACACATGTTGATTTGTAACATTTTAGGGAAGAAGAATCCCCAGAAGTCTAATGAAACATGTTATTGCTACAGAAATATAACTCCACTTGACTTCAATGAACTGCATTGTATAACTAAAACAACCTTTAAAAAACAATGGAGGCAAAATACTGGAAATAAAAAGTGTGAAGTTTAACTTGAAGAAAACAACAAAAACTCACCAGGAGTTTCCCAGCTTTAGTTGTGGCTCTCGTAGTAGTAGTAGTAGTAGTAGTAGTAGTAGTAGTAGTAGTAGTAGTAGTCGAGGCAGTGGTAATGATAATTGTCCGTAACAATACTAGTCACTCAGTCTGGTTGCTTCCTGGTTCTCTTTTAGTAGCAACTCTTTCTCTTGTGTTGATGTGTTTCTTCTTTCTGACTGTTTTTCCTCTTCCTAACTTACTCTATATTCTTCTCATCTGCACTCCATGGCTGTTTTCTGTCTTTCTATCAGCTGCTCTCTCTATGTGTGTCTCCTTCTTGTTTCTCCCGGCAGTAGTCCACAACAAAGCCCACGCTGCTGCTGCTGCTTCTGCTGCTGCTGGTTCAAGCTGCTGCAAAGCTTCCCTTCCAATGAATGAGCATGAGGAAGGGGGGGGGGGGGGGAGTGGTGTTTATATTTGCATAGGGGCTAGGGAGGGGTAGACTGAGGGAGGGAAGGGTGGGTATGTTGGATAGTGAGGAGGGATAGGGGGGAGTTGAGCCCTTTATTCATGTTATCTGTAGGCCATATCGACAGTCTACATCAGTCACCTGCTTCTCAGCGAGCCCCTGGGGGAGGGGGAGAAGACGGGGGAGAGGGGTTAACTGTGGGGCTCTCGGATCGGATGGGGGATGGGGGAGGTAAAAGGTTAAACTGGATCAGAAGAGTCCCAAATGAAACTGGGCAAACTCCTGGAGTTGGTGAACACTTATGCAAGCTTTCACTCAACACACACACACGAACGAAAGTACGTACGTAAGCACAGCCCAGAAAGAGGTGCCCCCTCGTTGTGACCCTATTCAGACATTCCCTGGTGAAAGATGGCCAGGTCCAGTGTCAGGAAACAGTGGTGCAGTCGGATATCACCCTGGCTCTGGAACAATGTGGAGCTGAGCATTTAGAGGAAGCCTGCATGGGAAGTCCCTTCAGTCTTCTGATAGGGCTGATGTTGCAGATTCAAGGAACAAACTATTTCATACAAGTATGTGAAGCAGTGGTGTATCAACGAGCTTACATATTTGACATCCTTCTTGCACTGCTT